GTGTTTACCAGGTCCAGCTTAGCGCTGCAGACAGATGCGTTTCTATTTGCAATTATCTCAGGGCCTGAGTTTGGTGTCTGCTTATTTAATGACTTCACTTTCTAATAAAAATTCTGTATGGCATAGATAATTAGATTTTTAAAATGAAACTGGGGAAATGGAGTGCCCCAAAGAGTTTAATTGCAGTTTTATGATGGATCAAGCATAAAAATGAGATTAGTTATTTGACAAATATGTATGGGGTGGGTTCTTGCCTTGTGTTGCACTAGGATACAGTGATCAATACATCACCCCTGCTCTCAGGTGGCTCTCCCTCCACGGCAGAAGCAGGGGAGGAAACACATGCCCAAGTGGCGCTTGGCCAGTGTTATACAGAGTGCAGTGTGCTGGGGGAAGAGGGAAGCATTGTTTTGACTCTTACTACAATAGAGTTCATTCCCTCCACATGGGCGCTCTCTGTGGAGCACCTGAATTACACCTGACATTGCACGGAGAGGGAGCACAAAGCAGAAAAGCGCATGTCCTGGAAGGCTGCCCACCTAAGCTCAGCTGTCAGCTGCAGGCCTCACTTCCTCGTAAGGGAGGAGCAGGTCTCTGTGCTTCAGTTTTACTGTTGGTGAAATGGGAAGGCTGGATTTCATGACTTGAAAGGGCCTTTCCACATCTAGCCTGATGATTCTAGTAAGCTCTTGGGCTCATTTCCTCTAGTGACAGGTGAAGAGGCAAAACGTAGCCATCTTAGTTAGCAGGGTTGCCAAGAGAGAGCTGGGATGCTGAGAACCAAGTGTGTCTTCAAAGAATCCTCTCAAGGAGCCAAGAAGCCCTGCTTTCCTTCCCAGAAGGAAAATGACTTTCTGGTTGAGGCTTCCAATGAAAGACTGATGACAGTGAAAAGAGACAAGCAGAGACACAGGAGTGGCACAGAGTCACCAGCTTACTCCCATATTCTGGAGCCTTCACCACAGTGAATGCAGAGGAGGCTGACCTCACAGATGCCTTGGTTACTGCAATGTGCTCTTCTGTTTTAAGTTAATATGGTTTTTAAAAAATTATTATTTAGTTTGAAGACTCCTGAGTTTCCAAATTAAATGCACAGTCATTTTTTTATCATGAGGAACAACGAGTGACACACATCTATCCCAACATTCTTCAAGTTCTCTCATTCGCATTGGCAACCAGTTGCAGGCTTTCCAGCCACAGCGATGAGGCTGGCTCCCAGTCACCTCATGTAGAGAAGCTTCATGCTACGGTCGGGGCAAGAGCAAGTGGAGAGTCCAAGAAACCCCCGGGTCTGATAGTCACTCTGCCCACTCACAAGCAGCCTGGACTTTGACAAGCTGTCTGATCTCTTGAGTCTTATGTTCCTACTGAGCCATGTAGGATATCGTCAGCAGGACAATGATAAGCATTTTGTACTCACTTTTAGTAATCTTCTGAAGAACTTTTGAAACAGTTATTATCCCCATTCTATGGATGGGGAAACAGAAGTCCAGAGGTGTTAAGGAATTTACATAATGTCACCTCATTAGAAAGGTGACATGTTTAGTATCTGAAACCACATCTCTGTGCCTTCAAAGCCTGATCTCTCTGTACCGCCCACACTATAAATAAGAGCTGTGCATAGGTGAGGAGCGTGGAGTTAATTAGCATGTGTCTTGTGTACAACTTTCATCTCAAAGAGGCGGTGAGTTTCTGCTAGCCAGAGGAGCCTCCTTATCCTAAAACTGAATGAAGTATAGCTTGTGTTCCAAGTGCTTCCATGTGACTGGTGTTTCTGTGTTTGGCTGACGTCCTTCAGGGTGTCCTTTGCTCAGCCCACCTCAATGGAGGATGCAACCCAGCAGTAATGAGCTGAGCCTGCAGTGAGTGCAGCATATGGCCTTGCTAAGCTGTGGATCACGCCCAGTCGAGGCAGGTGGTATCCAACTTACTTCTCAGGCCCTTCCCCGGGACAGCTTGCAGTCATGGGAAGGAACACAAGATAACTACATTCTTAGCTTACAGAGTGACAGACATGCATGTAGATGACACCCCTGCTCTTTGTTCCACAGAAACTGGCCGGGGGGGTTAGACAGATAGGTAGATGGATGGAATGAAAAGAAAAGAAAAGGAAGAAAAAAGGAAGGGACGAAGGAAAAGAAAAGAAAAAAGGAAAGGAAAGAAAGAGAAAGAAAGGAAAAGAGAAACTGAGACCGGTGGCCTTCCCAAGGCTGAGACAAAAACTCAGCTACCACAACTCTTTGAAATTCAAACAAGTGACATCTGCTTCTTGAAGTTCTGGAGCAAGTGTTTGGAAGCAAACAGACCTGGGTTGGATGGAATCTTGGCCCTTCCCTTGGGCAAATTCCTTAAGTTGCTAAGTTTTCCAGTTTGTGAACTAAAGTTAATAATGTTAGTGTCTCAGGAATATGGTGCGGAATATGTAAATTAAATATACATCCATCCTCCTTTTTGCCTGATCTTTGAATAAAATTTGTTTGTAAAGCTTTGGCTACGTCCTCTAGGTTCCTCTTTGTTTGTTGTTCTGGGAGAGAAGTGACATGAAGTGAAACTTCTCCTTTCTCTGACTACACATTCCTGAATCGTCCCTGAAAAAGCCCCATGTAGTCAGCCCCTCTGGGCTTGTGTTTCTAGCTTTTCAGCCTTCAGTTTATGCCTGAAGTGAACCTAGCCGTATTATTTCCTAGATTGTAACAAGGATAATGATTCTTGTCAGCATCAAGCACTGTACACGCACTAGATGATCAATCTCCTTATCCTAAGTGTTTTTCCTATTTTTTAAGAGTGTATTTTTTTTCTGGAGTGTTGCAGTTTTAAATCCAGGTCCTTTCGTACCTTCAGAAGTAATAAATGGGGTCATAAGCTATTTTCTGACACATATACATTCACTTATTTTTAAGTCCAAAATCCAAAAAGCTCTGAAAATGGGAAGTTTATTTCATCACGCATTTGAAAGCAAAAGCTGACCCAGAGACTCTTTATAGCTTTTATGTATTCCACTCAAGATGAATGAGGTTTTCAGCAGAAAGATGAGTGACTCAGACCCTGCTGGGCATGTACATAATATATGGCTTATGTACTCTTTACCTTTCTAAAAGACAACATTTCTGAATTTGGAAGCACTTCTGAGCAAAGAGTCTCAAAGAAGAGTTTATAGATCTTGCAAAAAGCCTAAAAGAACTCACCGTGTCGGCAAAGTCCAGATGACACAAGTGAATATCCTACCTTTGGCTATTAGAGGGTATGGTGACATGGCCCATCTCATGTGTATCAAAAGCGTTAATGGTCATTTTTATATTTTTCAATTAACTGAACTAAATGACCATGCTTGGCACAAAAACAAAACAACAGCCAAAACACATTTAAAAACATGGGCTCTCAAATTTCATTGGGACAAAGTCTTCAAAAAAAAACTTTTTCTGAGAAGTAAAAATAAGCTGGGAATTTTTGATTGAATGTGGCTTATAATTAAGTTTTGGTTTTGGCCTTGGAGGGGAAGGTAGAGGGAATTTTTAAATCTTACTCATCATTTTACCCATGTGAGGAAGAGCCAGGGCAAAAAGAGCAAGCATGGGGAAGTGAAAAGCCTCAACCGAGTGTGAGAAGGTTTTGGTTCTTATCTTGGGTCTGCTCTTGGCTTGTTGAGTGAGCTTGAACTTGTCACTTCCCTTCCCTGGCCCCTAGGAACTGAGTTATTGAGTAAATGACTTCTTCCTTTGTCTCTCTGAGAGTTAAGACATGGAGGCTAGGATGTCAACAGAGAAGGAGAGTGGGAAGCACTGAGCTGTCTGGCTGGCTGTACTGGGAGCTTCTTCCAGCCCTGGGCTGACCTCCGGAGGGATGCTCCGCTGGGTTCCTTCCCGGGTCTTCCTTTACTTCTTCCACAGCACTGGTCTGTGCCTTTGGCTGCTTTGTGTCAGATGTGTTTTGGCCCTGGTGCCTCTACTGCCATTCGCACCACTGATGCCCACGAGGTCTCATTGGCCGTGGCCCTGTTGGCAATGGCCATTCTAGTGGTTGCTCTGCTTTTGGGGTTAGACCATAACGAAGCATTATTGAGGAGGTGTCAGAGAGGAGGGCGAAAGTTTTCTATTGGAGAGCACAGAGCCAGTGCAAGATTTGCCCAGGGAAATGGGATAGTTTATATAGGGTCCTGTGTCTGTGTGGACTAGGTATTTAAATAGAGAGCATTTAGGTAAACAGGTTTGGGGACCGACCCACTGAGCTACCTCTCCCTGTCTCACCTTATCTTTCTCTCTTGTTTCTCTTTCTTTATATCTTTGTCTTCTGAGTTTATTATCAGTGCATCATAATTCTGACTTTTTCTAGGTCAAAAGCTTAACATTTCTTTCAGAATCTGATGATACTTAAAAATCAGCAACTCCTCCTCTCTGAGGACCCACTCTGCCCTTCTGGAGAAGGGTCTCACCCACTCATAACCAGTGATAGCCATGTGGCTTCCACCATGGGGGAGTGACCTTAAGTTGTAGGATCCTGAAGGCCTTTGGTTTGCATAGACTATTGGGGCCACTAGCGAGTTGTAAATATGGCTCACATCAGGGCATACAGAGATTAGGATGCCTCTGGGATGGCTGGAACTTAGAAACTAGAGAGGCCTGGACTAGTGAGTGTGTAAGTATGATGTGTGTGGTTTGGATGTATGTGTGTTTATGTGTGGCTTGGAGTGGGCGTGGGGGTATGGTATGTAGATGTGTATAACTGTGTGTATAGATATGTGTAAGTGTGGGTGCTGTGAATATGGGTGTGTGTGTGTGGTTTGTGAGTGTGTGTGTGGATGTGAATATGTGGATGTGTATAGCTGTGTGTGTATAGGTATGTGTGAGTGTGGGTGGTGTGGATATGGGTGTGTGTATGTGCTTTGTGTGTGTGTGTGTGTGTGTGTGTGAATTTGTGGATGTGTATAGCTGTGTGTGTATAGGTATGTGTGAGTGTGGGTGCTGTGTGTGGTTTGTGAGTGGGTGTGTAGGGATGAATATGTGGATGTGTACAGGTGTATATGTAAGCGTGTGCATGTGCGATAGGAGAATCCTTTTAGTTCCAAGGAAGCGCTGCAGAGGGCAGGGCCCTGCCAGGCACTCTCTGGACAAGGCTCTGCCCTGGCCTTTGTGTAGCTCACAGGTGGAATTAACTCCCCAGACCCCCCTGTGGGCCGAGGGACCTTTTGTTTTTCAGGGACCAGTGGCCTCCAAGAAAGGCAAATCTGACAATTAACTGGCAGAAAGCAACTGAATTACATTTCTTAGGGAGAAAATATCCAATTCTGCTGCTTCAGAAACATAGAACCCTGTAAATCTTATTCCACATGTTTCAAAAACACTCAAATCATTTGCGTATGCTACTTTAGAAATAAAAATAAAGAAAAATCTAATACAGGTTAAAAAGAAAAAAAAACACTAAGAATGCATTCAATTTTATGTAAAGTCAGTTGGGAAAAGTAGGAAAGAGAAAAGGAAGGGCGGGGGAAGGAGAAACATGGAGGGAGACGCCGTGCAGCAGCCGCCGGAGCCCTTGTGTGATCCGGCCGTGCTCCAGTTGCCTCACGTTTACAAAGTTCAAGTGTTTAGGATCAAACCCAAGCAGGGTTTAGCAGCGTTGAGACCCTGGATGTGAGAAAGAAGGAACAGAAGAGGAGGTGAAAGATTGTTGCAGTTTTGCTTACCAAACTGCAAGGATCAGGAAGACCATGTGGGCAGTGGAGTGAGCACTGTCCAAGGAGTCCCCAGGGTATAAGCCTGGCTCTGGCGCTGACCCTCTGTCTGACCTGCTATAAGCCCCCTCTCCTCCCTGAGCCTCAGGTCCTCCATTTTTAACAAGTGTGTTTGACTAGATGAAGTCTAAAGCCATTTCTGCGTTGGTGAGGCAAGCCTGGCCCCACACTTGAGGCCCAGAGGCTTTCTCAAGATGGAGAGGAGGTTGGCTCTGGCCTGCAATCACTGAAGCCAAGAGCCCCCTTCCCCATGGGTCCAAAGTGGGGTTTCCTCTTTCATGACTCGGGGCGAGCAAATGAACTTGTACAGGTATGGATGAAACGCTAAGTGGATATCTCCTATTTTTTTCTCCCTTTAAAACATCTGTTTTGTCAAGTCCTCGTTCCTGTTTCTCCCTTTCACACTGTATGTTCAGTAACCTGCTAGTAAGGTCATGGGTTGTGTAAATTTATCTGTTAAACCTCAGATTCAGGAAATAGGTTGAGTAGTTCATAGAAGCTAAAATAGCTACAGTGCGATCGCTATTTGTGGTATATGAATGTGAGTTATTTTTTTAAAAAACTGGTGACTTACAGGTTGCCGAGTCCAGACATGACCCCGAATTTTTCAAAGTATTCCCAAATTTTTAATTATATTAATAACAGTGAATTATGTTATTCAGTATACATTTAGCACCCATTAATTCATTCTAACTATTTGGATATCATCTTTATATACATTTTTCATCCCACAGACAACCTTCTAAGGTGATATTTTCATTTCTCTTTTAAAGATAAAGAAAAGGAAGGTTTTAAAATTTGCTTTAAGACATAGGACTGGAAATAGGGCACCAGGATTTGGTTGACGTCTGCCTGGCTCTAGAAGTTCTACACATTTCCATACCACACACTGCTTCCAGGCTACAATTATATTTTATTTTTTTAAGAAAGTAAAATCCTTTTTCCTGCCATGACTGGAGTCTCTTAAGCCTCAGAAAATATGATCATAGCTTCATTTCTTTGCCTTTTTCCAGAATGGAGTCCCATGGTGTTCCCTACTTTAATGTAAATTTCATGCAAATAGTATATGGTATTTCTATTTAACAAACTTTGACCATGTATTCCCAAAGTGACAGACAGTTTTCTGGATACTTGCAGATGTGTCATTCATCTGGAAATATCCAGAAATACATGGTCAATGGAAGAAGTCGTGCTCTTTATTATGTAGAGGACAAAACCAAGACTCAGAGAGATGCAGCATTGTGGCTTGCTTTGTGAATCAATGATTCACAGACTACAGTTTATAGAGTGCTTGGGGTTGTGCCTTGCCCTGGAACAGAAGCACTCCTTGTTGAACCAGGAGATCCAGTTGACTCACCAGCTTCCACCTTGCAGGGCTGGGGTCCCCAGCGTCTGTCTGCTGCTCATAACTCAATCTGCTGGTTGCGGAGAAAGGCAACTTCCTCTTGTCTCTTCCCATGTTGTTTCAGCCTGCACCACTGTTGGCTCATTTTAGCTCACCTAAGCTCCTTTTTCAGTTTCATGGCTCAGCCTCAACTTGCAAATACTATGCATTAGCTTCGTATTACAGAAGAAAAAATGGTAATGTGATTTACCCAGGATCACACATGAGCTACATCCTCTTTTCAAAATGTCCTTTCTTTGCCTGGGCAGACTCTGAGATTCACTTCTGGTGTAGCATTCGCTGGAAACCTTCCCCAGTTCCCCATCAAATTCATCCATCATTCATGCATCAACTTATTCAACAGATATTTATTGAGCATCTACAATGAGTCGCACACTTCTCTTGGTCTGTTTCTGGGGATTCAGCAGTAAACCAACACACAAAACCCTGTAACCCATGGAGCTTATATTTTGTTGGGGAAATATGGACCATAAACACATAAACAAGTAAAATGTACATCATGTTCAATGGTGACAAGTTCCATGAAGAAAAATGAAGCAGAGGTGGATACACAGAAGGATAGGTGGATGACGGGAAGTTTGGGGAAAGAGTTGCTATTTTAAATAGGGTTGCCAGAAAAGGTGAGGATTGAACGAAGGCCTCAGGAAGTGAGAGAAGAATCCATGTGGCTAACAGGGGGAAACTGTTCCAAGCAGAGCCTCAGCGAGGGCCAAACCAGGGTAGAGTGTGCCTGGCCAGGTGAAGAAACTGCAGGGATGCTAGGGCTGGAGCTGAGCGGACGAGTGGCCGGTTGCAGGCCATGGGGTCATGGAGACATCACAGGCCAGCCTGTGATTTCAAGGCCCTCCTGGCGTTCCCTCTGACCCAGAACATTTTTGCTGTTTCCAGTTCACTGGCTTGTTCTCACGCTGGCCTGTGCACCACGCAGGGCGGGTCCAGGCTTGTCCTCAATCTTCACATCCCCAGCACATAGCACAGGGTCTGGACTAGAAAGAAAGCACAGCTTTTATGAAGACCTCTGCTCCTATTTATTTTTTAAGTCAAAGAGTCCTAGTTAAATATTATTTGTGATTTTTTTCTTAATAAACATGGGAACTTGGAAGAAATGCTGGCTCTAAATCCCAGTTAACCAGCTGGACAACCATCAGACGGGCAGGATTGTGCTAAGGAAAGTATAAGGTGCCAGGAAAAAAGCTGGAAGTGAAAAGCTGTGGAGAGGAGAGTGTTAATTGCAGTCCAGAGGAAGAGGGCTTCTTCAGAATCCCCGGGGATTAACAGCTCGCCGGATCCCTGCTGGGGACTGGTGTTTATAAAAAGTGACCGGAGGCTGGAACAGGGAGGCTCTCGAGAAACCCTCAAAGTGTGTCAGGATTTCAGCCAGGACTTTCCATTCCCACTTTGCTGACGCACAGGGTAGCAGGGGGAGCCTGTGGGACCTGGAAGACTCTCTGGAGACCTTTCCAGAAAGGAAAAAAAAAAAAAAAAAAAACCTACCCTGGTAGGGCCTTTCCTCTCACAGAGCAAAATGCTAGTCTCTGAGAAGCTTTAGTTTCTTCAAATGCAGGGAAAAATCCTTGCAAATGTAATGGGACTGCAACAAGGGGAGAGAGGAGGGCTAAGAAAAAAAAGCATTTGGCCCAGTGACACATCAGGGTTGAGGACCTCTGAGGGCTGCCAGCTCCCACCTCATATCCTCTCTGAATCCTGCTCCTCGGGACAGTGGCTTACAGCAACCTGTACCAACCTGGAGCAGGTGGCACAAGCAGCTCAATAGGATTGGAGTGTGAGGGGGTAGCTAGAGCTCAGTGAAGACTGAAGCTAGAGGACATCCTGAAGCTGTGGGAAACTATCAGGGAATTTTCACAAAGGAGCAATGGAAATGGATTTCCCACCAGAGGTACCTGTGGGTTTCAAAGGATGGACCTCATAGTTAGAAAGTTGCCGAGCGTTCATTACCCGGAGTTGGGGAGGGAAGATTGCTTTCAGCTGCTGGATCAGATAATAGGCTTGCTTAAAAATATTAAAAAAGGGAAAAGCAAAGACTTGCCTTTTCCTTGTTCAATAACTGCTTTTTGAGAACTGGCTGTGCTTAGGTGCTGGAGCTGTTCCAGCAGATAAACCTTGCCCTCATTGAACCCATTCCAAGGGGCCTCCCTGAAGAGGCTTACCTGAAGGTACTTGAGGGAAGATGACTGGAATTTCCTGTGTTCCATTGTACGTAACAAGTTTATAAAATGGGGAAATTTAAAAAAAAAATCACTGCACCTGATATTAAAATAATATAAAGTTACTTCTTGGTCTGCCAATGACCTGCTCAAAGTCACTGGACCGCCTCCCTGGGCCTTCATCTGCTCATCCTCCAGTGGAGCCAATCTTCCTTCCTGCCTCCCTTTCAGGAATATTTTGAAGGTACCAAGCTTTGAAAACAAGTTGAAATCTCTGTGCAAATTGCAGGGTGTGACTCACATGCCTGTGAGGGACCCGTGTTCACAAGGTACTACCTGGTGAGTGGTTTTGGGTGAAGGATAGAGTCTGTTCACAGATCAGTTTTTATCAAGTTTACTTCTCCAGGTTTGTCTGCAATGGTTTGGGGTTATTTTTCCGGTTGTCAGAAATACTTTTCCTGATTTTATATTAGTATTTGGCTTCTGCAATGCAGTGCAGTGCTTTACAAACATGCACACGTATATGTTTACCTAATTGCTGTAGGATGATAATTTAATGTAGTTGATATGACAGTGTAAAAAGGCCAAGGCCAGGATTGTTGCTCCAGGTACGAGGAGGCTTGAAACAGCAGCTGTGGGTACACAGGAGTGGAAGGTGTTAGAAGTCAGCCTAGCTTGGGTCAGGGTAGGAAACCAAGGGTGTGAATTGTCATGGAAAGCCACATGCAAGGTGCCAACCCTCCCAGACCGCCCAGAAATAGCTGTTGAAAATTGAGCTTTCTGGTGAAAAGATCAGCTGCTGCGGAATGCCTTCCATATAGGTCAGCAAGTGGGGCCAGAGAGCATAGAGCGAGCCTGAAATGTGTCTAAATAAATGATTATGGTGACTCACTGGCTCCCATTGAAAGGAATTTTTTTTTTTTTTTTAAAGTGAAAGTAAGAGAGAATGAAGACAATAAAGCAAAGCAAAGGAACAATAAGGTTTGAATTTAAAACAATAGAAGCAAGAAAATTGAATTAGTCACTCATGTCAAATCGTGTGAGCCTCTGTCCTGAATTGCTACCTCCCTTCTTGACTTGCATGAAGGTCATGGTCTTTCTGTCTGAATTTCCTGGTGAAATAACACACCCTCTGATTGTTGCCATTCCCGGTGCCGGCTCCAGGCATGGAATGGGCATTCCGAGATATTTGTCACAGAGCCACTACAGAGCTTGTCTGTTGAGTTCAGGAAGCCTTTCCATGGCCAGAGAGGAGCATCCAGTCTCTCTGAGATATTTAGTGTTGCTTTGTGGAGCCTCTGAGTGTGAGAGCTGGGGCTGCCAGCCCGTGAAGCTTAATGGAAAATGTTCTGCATTTGTTCTATTGCAGGCTTGTTGGTATGTTGCTGCATCATCTGTGATATCAGGAACTGGCTCATATACCAGTGAAACCTTTATGATTTGCTAGTGTTTTAATCAATCTGCAGTTTGCGGAGATTTTTACATTAAGGTGAGTCAGCCTTGTTATATACTATAAACTCACTCAGTGAGTGTATAGCTTTGCTTCTCTTTCTGGTTGATTTCTGGGCTATTGCTTAACCATTCTCATGTCTTAGGGATCTATCCATAAAATGGACATAATTTCTTCTCAGCAGACCCCAACATAATACCTATGAATAGAAAATGATTTGATCTGGAAAAATGTGGAGTATGTCACTTTTGGTGCAGTCAGAAATAACAGTGGCTGATGGCGACGGGTATCTTGCTATGCCCCGTGTCAGGGGCTGCAGGTTGGTTTCTGTGGCACTGCTGCACGTTTCTTCTCATTCTGGAACCTGGTCTGAAGGAGTGTCTGTTTCTTGGAATGCGTCATGCTCATGACAGAAGTGATTGAGCAAGGTGGCAGAAACTTGAGACTTCTTGAAGCTTCTACTAGGATGTGCCTCTCTTTATTCTACTTTCACTCCATTTGCTAAACAAGGCAAATGTCCAAGCCCTATATCAATTGTGACCTTCTCCCAGGGAAGGGGAATCCAAGTCATCTGGCAACCATCAAGACTGTACTGTATAATCGTCCCCTGTACTGTGCCACCGTGCGCTGTACTGTACAACTGTCCCCTGTACTGCAGTCATCCCTGGGAGAGAGACCACCCCTCTCCCAAGATATCAAAATCTGCAGATGATCAAGGCCCTTATATAAAATGGCACAGTATTTGCATGTAACCTATGTATCTCCTCCTATATATTTTCAGTCATCTCCAGATTAGTTATAATACCTCATGTAATGTAAATGGTTGTTATACTGTGTTGTTTTTTAAATTTGCATTATGTTTTGTTGTTGTTATTTCTTTATTTTTTTTTTCTGAGTATTTCCCATCCTGGGTTTGTTGAATTCCAAGGATGTGGAACCCTTGAATATGAAAGGCTGACTACAAAATCTTTTGCAATTGAGGAAATAATGCAGTGTAACAAGCACATTGTAAGCTTATTAAACACAGTGTGAGGATTATGTTCTTAGTAAGATAATATTTGATTGGATAGTAAGAATGGAGCTTATGTCTGGTATCAATATTTATTGGGAAATATCACACTAGGATGTAGTAGTCTATGATGGAGGAAATTTTGTGTCATCCACCCCTGCATTTTAAAGGTGAGGCCTACATTCTCTTCCTGGCATATAGTAGGTATTCAGGACGCATTAGTTGTTCTGTGTAAATTCATGAGTTCACAGCTGTTCCAATACGCTAGAAACCCAAGACAGTAAAATATAATTCAAGTCTCTGCGGTCTCTTTAAGATTAGAAAACAGCAAAGCCACATTTCAACTGCATACTAGAGAGATAAAAAGGTTTATCAATTTATTTCTTAAATTCAAGTGTAATCACATCCACAAAGCCTTTTGCTGAAATTCCCCTTTTGATGAAACTCATGTCATCCCATCAAATAACTCCAGTGGCACAGACTTAACTAACTCAAGGTCTCCAGCATTGTTGATGGGCAGTGGCCTTGACAGGGACAGTACTGACATAGTGCTTTTGACCATTGTTGTGTCTTTCTTTGGGGCTGTCCGAAATGCTTATTATTCATCACATTCTTTTCATTTTTGTTGTCATTGTTGTTCCTACTCTGTCTTCCTGGGAGCAATGGTAACCTCTTAAATTTAGAAACAACAGAGCCAAGGCAACAAGATATAAGGGTAGGGCCAGGCTGTGCAGTGGGTGTGGCAAAGATTCCACCTCCCTGGCTGAGTTTCTCCATGATAGATAAGACCACCTGTGACACTTCTCCACTCACTAGCTGTGTGACCTTAGGCAAATTAGTTAACATTTCTGTGCCTCATTAGTTAGATTAATGGAATGAAGATAAGAATAGCATTTTCTCTTAGAGGTGCTGTGAGGATTTAACGAGGTGATACATGTGAAGTGTTAGAGCCGGGGAGGTCAGGGGGATGAGATGGGTGTCATGGTTGGACAGGACCATGGGCCTCAAACTACTGTGGTGGTGGTTCCAACTGGAGCCTCTCAGAGCAATGCTCATTGGAAGCACAAAGGCCATTCATAGGCACATTGTCATTCACCTTGATATGGGTGGGTCAGGGAAGGCAGTCTGATGGGCAGATAGGTGGAAGAAGTGTTTGAGCTGTGGGGTGGGGGGTGGGGGAACTGAGTGAGCCATGCCAATATCCGAAGGAAAGATGTGGCTTGTACAAGGCAGAGGAGAAAGAAAGTGGGGAGAGCCTGAGATGAGCGTGCTTTGCTAATTGTAAGAAAAGCTAGAGGGGTTGGTATGTGTGGTGAGGAGCAAATGAAGATAGCATTGACGGGGGCAAGAGGGAGACTGGACCTGCAGGACCTGGTAGTATGAGTTTTGATCAAGGAGAAAGGAAACTAGCACTTACTGAGGACACGTCGTGTGCTAAGCTCTGAGCTGAGTCTAAGCTTTTTAATAATTCTGCAAGAGCAGCTGGTACAGATAAGAAAGAGGAGTTTACATTTTTACGTACGATCAATCAGGTGGCTCACACATGGCAAAACCAGAATTTAGAAAAGGTCTTTTGGATTTCAGAGCATACTCCAGACATGCTTGAAATTTAGACGTTTGTTAATTATCTAGTATTTGAATATACTTGTTCAATTCTTTGCTTCAAATCAACTGAGGTGATACAGGAAAGCTAAATTTCAACTCACTAATTTGCATTAACACAATTGATGACTGTAAAACATCTTTTGGGAAGACAGTACCAGATGTGGTTTCATTGCTTGAGCGAATTAACACATCCCTGTTACTTGGTATGCATTAATCTGGGTTCTTCGGAGAAATAGAACAAGTAGGAGATAGATACAGATATGGATGTGGCTATAGATATGAAGAGATTTATTTAAGTAATTAACTAACATGATCATGGGTGCTCGGATGTCCCAAGAGCTGCATCTGGCAAGCTGGGGACCCAGGAGAGCTGATCATAGAGTTCCAGCCTAAGTCAGAAGGGCTGAGAACAAGGAGAGCTGATGGTGTAAGTCTGGTTCAAGTCAATCCAAATGCTGGAGGAGACTCATCTTCCAGCTTAAAGACAGAGGGAGAGAGAGCAAATCCGTGCTTAATTCACCTTTTATTCTATTCAGGCTTTCAAGGGATCTGTTGAGGCCCATCCATATTGAAGAGTGCCACCCACTTTACTCTGTCTACCAATTTAAATGTTAATTTCTTCCAGAGATACCGTTACAGCAACACAGAATAATGTTTAACCAAATATCTGGGTACCGCATGCTCCAGTCAAGTTGATACGTAAAATTAGCCACCACAAAGGCCATTTTTTAATGAATGTAAGTACAATGAAAGAAAATGTCAAGTTACAATATGGTGGCTCCCACACTGCACATGGCTTCTCTGGTCTTGCAGAGAGGCCTGAGCTTGCCTGCCCCAGAGCCACATTTCCCCTTGCACCGATCAGCTTCTCTATATTCCTGAGACTTCCTTTGCCTATACAAGCCCTCTCCATTTTCAGGGCAACACTCAAGCTCTCCTCATAGGTCAACTAAGCAGGCAGTATTCTTTGAGTTAATTTTGACTACGGATTTTCAAAATGTGTTGTCATGGCTGCATGGAAAATGGTAATATTTGTACAGCTCACCAAAGAAATGGATGAAGCTGCTTGTAGCCACAGGGTAGTGGCCTGTTGGGGGAGGAGGAACTCTAGACACCTTGATTCTACCAACTGTCCCCCTGGACCACAAGTGTACCTTTGCTACATGGTTGGAAAAATCTGATTTAAATCAAGCCATCCATCTTATAGATGGGAATACTGAGGCCCAGAGAGGGGAAGACCAGAGCTAGAGCCACCTGATTTTCTCCTGGGATATGCCTGTGCAGTTCTGATCATACTGCATTGCCTGCCTGATCCTTTTCTGCCTCCTCATTTCTGAATTATTCATTGGGCATTTGTCACAGACTGTCAGGGACAGCTGACTTGTGTGGGTGTGTGGGCGTGTGTGTGTATAAGCACATATGATCTTTTCCCAATTAGATAATAAATCATCTGGGGACAGGATCTTTGTCATGTTCTCTTTCTTTTCTTATGCCCTCCAAATTACCAAGCATATCAGATTGTACTTTTCTATGTATTAAAGTATAAAGGAATAATCATCCACCATTAGCCTTTAAAATAAACTGTAGCATTCATCCTACTTCAAATGTCCTTTCTTCTAGAAAGTATTTGCTAATTCCTAGCTGCCAATGATCTCTGGTTTGTCTCATCTCCCAAAGCATTTTCTTTGTGACACTGTAGCACTTTTACTGATTTCCACCTTATATTAGAGTCATAGCTAGAAATATCCCATCTCCTTTTCCAACGACGTGACCACCTTAACAGTAAAATATGTATGGCTCATGTAATAGAGTGGTGTTTACTTCACAGGCATTCCATTCTAACTCCGCATTTTAAAATGTCTATTACATATCAGATACTGCAGTATCTGTGTCATTGCAGGAGCTCGTTTAAACTCCAGAGCAGCTATATATGGTGCATATCAGCTTTGTTTTATTATGTAAGGAAACTGACGCTCAAAGAGGGGAGGTACCTAGTTCCAGACTGAGTTGAAGCCAAACTTCTGGTTCCAAATGCTATACCCTTGTTCTAGCCCAGGACAGTTGCCTGTTTACCTTAGCAAATGTTTGTGGAATAAATGTGCAAGCCAAGAATAGGTGACTTAATTCATTTGAAGGCTAACAAATGCTGAATGTAAGTTATTTGTGGCTTTTGGAAATCATTGTGAAAATAGCTTTATACTGCAAAAATTGAAAAGAATGTTGATTCTCATGGATCACTTTTGCTCGCCTGTGGGTTGTCTCTGAAACATTTGCAAGTTCAATTGAAATATGACTTTCAGATGAAAGAATGCTATCACTGTCCCAAGTCTTTCTTTCCTGATGCCTACCACCATGAAAGCAGAAGTTTATACTTTTTCATTTTAATGGTAATCAGTTTCCTTAATAAGTCTTGTCTTGGAGAGGT